TCACCGGGCATCCAGGCCCCCCACCATTTCCTCTTGACCTTCAGGTCAAGGAGGATCTTGCAGGCGCAAGACCACTTCAGCTTCACTCCCAGCGTGGTGAGTATGAGGCGCTTGATGGCAAAGGCGCGCTCGTTCCTCCAGACTGTCCATACCCGTTTGAACGGCTTGTTGTAGTTCTCATTGTTGAGTGACTCCAGGATCTCCACAAGAGTCACGTCGTAGCCCAGTGACACTAGGCCGCGATGAAGCACGCGGCAACGGGTCTTGTGGTTTTCGTAGAAATCGATGACCGCGTCCGGGTTGTGGATGCATATTTCGTCTCGCATCGCCTCATAGTGGATCTGTGATGAAGGGTGGGAAGGGCCAAGTGGGAGAAGGGTGGGTGTGGGGCGGGGTAGAAAAGGGGGGTGTAGGGGAGGGGTCGAGGAGGACGAGCGGAAAAGGAGACAGTTGTGTGCAAGCCCCCCGCCACATCCAAGGCCATGGGCGAGCGTGCAGCAAAAGCCCTGAAAGCATGGGAGGGATGCCGACTTGTGGTGGGGACTTGAGTGTAACGTCGGCTGAGGGGTAGCGGGGCGCGGGGTGGGGAAGGGAAGGGGAATGCTAGGAGGTTTAAAATCGCGTAGGGATCGTCGGAACTTAGGGTCTTGTGGGGGTTCGAGAAATAACTCCCGGGTGGAGCGGTGAACTTAGGATGGAGACAAATAGACACGGACGGGGGTTTGGGAACGCGGTGGAATGGGGGGCTGGCAAACACATGCGGCGGTGGCTGGGGTGTGGACGGAGGGCTGGCAGGAGTCAGAACGAAGAGTCACAGCCACGGGTTTAGGCATTAGGCTGGCGACGAAGCACCGGGCAGCAACCGAGACGTGGTGTGTGCTGAGGGATCTGGTGGCTTGGCGGGCGAGTAGAGCGGGCGAGGAGGTGGGGCGGGGGGGGGGGGGTTCGGGGAAAGGTGGAAACGGAATTTTAGGGTGGGGTGGCAGTGGGAGGGTGGGGTTGGGATCCAAGTGGGGGACCCATCTAAAAATGTATAACGGCATCACACACGTGACTCACCGGGATGTTGCTCACGGAGGGCATGCCACGACGCCTCGTCCGGGGGCGGTTCCCCCCCACGCTCTCTCCGACCGCCTCGTCGTGGTCACTAGATGCCGACGCCAAGCAGGGAAGGTGCTGCCCCCGCGCCCTCTTGAGCTGCAGAATCTCGATAGCCGCCTCGCGCAGAAGCCCGAACATGCGGGCGGCGGACAACTCGTGCGGCACCTCCTCCATGCGGGCCAAGGACTCCCAAGTGTAACCTCCACTGTTAATCTCGCCCCCAAGCATCCGTCTCCGTTTTGCCTCCACGTCGGCATGAACCCCGGCAGCGTCGTTCCCGGGTCGCTTCTGGCCAGCAGCATCCACTCCTTGGTCGGGGCCGCTCGCTCCACCCTCCCATCCATACTCACCCATCGCCGAGGCCCACATCCCGCCAGGTGCGGCTTGTGCTCGGCCCTCTGCTCATTGCTGCGGCATGCCCCATACTTGTGCCGCATCCATGCCCCCGCCCCCCCCTTGCCGCTCGTTCGGAGCGCCTCGGGTGTGAGAGTACGACCCCGTTACACCACTTGTCCTATTCTTATCTCCTTCCTATTTCATTCTTCTTTTTATCTCATCTCATTTGGTTTCCTATTCTCCATTCTTCCATTATCCTTTGGTTGATCCTGCTATTATAATTATATCACCGACCAGGCTTGGGATGTACTGGCACATTATCCAGCGTAATCCTGCCGTAATCCCTTAAAGCCAATGGCCTCGCGTGGCTATACGCAGGGTGATTCTATATTCTAGAAGGGTCTATTCCTTTGGATAGGATAAACCTGGTTACCTGATGTACTCTGGAAGTATAAAATCACCTTGTACTGATCGATAGTGCAATCGATCCTCGAGTCATTCGATCCTGTGACACTTGGTAATCAGAGCTTTTCTCACTCGGCTGCGCTCAACAAAGCAGCAGCAGCGGGAAAACCTGCCTCGAAAAACCGCCGGGGGCGACGAATTCGACGCCGATTCTGGTAAGCACCAGCTCCGCGTTTTGTGAATTCCCCCTCCCGCGCGTGTTTTGAACAGGATGGCAACCTTCGACAACGCCGAGGTTACCCAGCAACTCTTCGCGCGCATCGCCGCTCTTCAGGAGGAGCTGCGAGCAGATCGCGAAGCGTGGCAAAACGAGTTCGAGCGAGTAACTCGACTCGCCGGAGCGCAGCACGAGACGGCAACGGCGACGACGCAGCAGTCGCAGCAGTTTCTCGAGGCTCCGAAACCGCGCCCACCTGAGCCGTTCGATCCGAGCGATCGAAACTCTGACGCCCGCTGATGGATCGCCGGGATGGAGATCTACTTCGCAGCCGTCGGGTGGAGCTCGCCAGTCTGGGACGGTCAACGCGTACGACTCGCGGCGACACTGATGCGAGGGCCGGCACTCGAGTGGATTGGCGGCAACAGCACCTTCATCCACGGTGAAGCCACGTGGCAGCAGTTCCGCGTCGACCTGCTGAAACGATTCGAGCCGATAAATTCAGGTTTCCTTGCCCGCGAAAAAATTCATCGCCATCGACAGTTCGGGAGTGTAGCACAGTACACGCAGCAGATGGAAGAATTTTATAACCGAATTCCCGACCTGACCGAAGGGGAAAAAGTGCAATCGTACCTCGCAGGGCTGAAGACCGAAGTCAAACGACAGGTGGCAGCGTCAAACTACGCGAGCTACAGTGACGTCGTTTCGGCCGCGGAGCGCTTCGACATGGTCAACGCCGGAACACGACGGACGCACGTCGGCAGTACGCAACAAGGCGACCGCTCGACTCACACCACGTTCGCCGACCCGATGGAGATCGACAAATTCGACGGGCGGCCACGTCTGAAAAACACCAACTACACGTGTGATTTTTGCGGGGTGCCGGGCCACCGAATCTTCGACTGCAACAAAATGAAGGCCGCACGCGCAGAGTATCGGGCATGCAACAGTGGCGGAAATCTTTCGGCCAATCAGAAGACAAAAAACGGGAGTCGCCAGTGATAGCGGATCTAGCTGGCGAAAAAGAAAAGATCCGGAAACGGCCGCGGGATTCCGGGAAAATCTACATCGACGAAGCTGATTCGACGCGAGCAGGAGGAAATGATGGGGGAAAATCTCCACCCCACGACCAGTCTTCGCCAGAGAAAATCGCCGAGGAAAAATAAGACTCCGCGAAAAAAGACTCTGCCGAAACGGGGAAACTCCTTGAAGACCCAAGAAATTATAAGAATTCGTTAAAGCTATCATATAAAGATGCTTTAATGAAAACTTATGATTTTCGAGGGGCTAGAGCCTTGGAGAAAATACGGGAGGGACTCCAAAAGAAGCAGAAAGCTGTGGAGATCATACCGGTACCGGACAACATGGGGAAAAAATTAAGGAGTGTGGAAAGAAGCCGACCTTTCCACGGAGTCAACGTCCTCTCCCGACTCCAGCCCACATCGACTACCCGTTCCCCAGGGAAGACGTCAGTGGAGCTGAAGCAGCTTAAAAGGAAGCTGGGGGTCTACAAGAAGCTGCAAAAACCCCGAACTCCTTCTCCGGATGCATCCAGTTCTTCGGCATCAATGACGCGGACAGTCGTCAAAGAAACTCCGGGCCCTGGAGAAGAGCCGTTCTCCAAGCAGCCTCAGCCAGCTGCTAGCTCAGGAGTAGATAGGAACGAAAAGGTGTGTACGGATTATTGGGATGTACCCTATGACCCCATTAATGAAACTATCTTTGGGTACTCCGAGCAACGCCCGCCTCTCGTGCTCGAGGTCATCTGCAAAGGACGACGCCTCCAAGCACTCGTGGACAGCGGAGCATCTCACACCGTCTGTGACAAGGCAGCAATCGACTGACTTCGGGAAGAGTACAAGCCTTCAGGATTCTCTGCAACGATGGTGGATGGCAGCAAGCTACCAGTACACGGCGAAGCAGTGTTACACCTACAAATTGGACCACTACGCTGGAGACCTGCACTCCCCATCACCAACATCAAAGGGCTTGACCTGATTTTCGGGCGAGACTTCCTGAAAAGATTCAACCCCGAAATCAACTGGGTGAACCGCACTGCAAGCATCTACAACAATGGAAGGAGAGTTCAGCTACCAAACTGGGACGATACAGGAGATATCCCAGTGGAGACACTCGCACGATTCGAGAAGGACGTGAAGCGAACCGACACCGGGTTCCTGGCGTTAGCAACAGAGGTGGAAACCGACGGAGAGAAGACCTCGGAACCTCCAGGAGAAATCAAGAAATTGCTGAAGGAATTCCAAGACATTCTTCCTGATGATCTACCGAACGAGCTACCGCCATACCGCACGCATCAACACGAAATCATAGAGGAACCAGGTTCGAAGCCGACCTTCCGAGCACCATATCGACTCAGCCCTACGGAGCTGACCGACATGAAGAAGCAGATCGAGTATCTCCTAGCCAAAGGACTCATCCGACCATCTACTTCACCATACGGTGCCCCAGTACTCTTCACCCCGAAACCGGACGGAAGCCTGCGCATGTGCATCGACTACCGAGCTCTTAACAAGCAGACCATCAAGAACAAGTATCCGATACCACGAATCGATGACCTGCTTGACCAGCTTCGGGGAGCTACGGTATTTTCCAAACTGGATCTGCGGTCCGGATACTGGCAGATACGGATGGCGGACAACTCTATCTACAAAACTGCTTTCCGAACTCGGTACGGATCGTACGAGTATTTGGTCATGCCGTTCGGACTCACCAACGCACCAGCGGCGTTCCAAGCAGAAATGAACCACATCCTACGCCCACTCTTGGACGAATGCGTGGTGGTGTACCTGGACGACATCCTCATCTACTCGCGCGACATGAAGCAGCACGTCGAACACCTGCGACGCGTCTTCGAAATTCTTCGACGGGAACGTTTCTACGTCAAACTGTCCAAGAGCGAATTCACCCTGGAGAAGGTCCAATTTCTAGGACACATGGTGAGCGCTCAAGGAGTTCACGTCGACCCCAAGAAAATCGAAGCCGTACGTACGTGGAAGACACCCAAGAACGTGAAGGAGTTGCAGCAGTTCCTAGGCTTCGCTAATTACTACAACAGGTTCGTGCCACAGTATGCGAAACTCGCGGCACCACTCACGAATCTGCTGAAGAAGAACACGCCCTACAAATGGGAGACGAAGCACCAAGAAGCCGTGGAGCAACTGAAACAAGCACTGACATCCGCACCGGTGCTCATCTTGCCAGATCCCGAACGTGACTACGTCATTGAAGCAGACGCCAGTGATCAGGCCGTGGGAGCAGTCTTGATGCAAGACCAGGGGAATGGACTGCAACCAATTGCCTACCTCAGCAAGAAACTGCACGGGGCAGAACTCAACTACCCGATACACGACAAAGAGGCTCTTGCTATTGTCATCGCCTTCAAAGCATGGAGATGTTATCTCGAAGGACGTCAAACAACAGTCTACACCGACCACTGCAGTCTGAAATATCTGAAGACACAACCAACCCTTTCCAGGCGGCAGGTCCGGTGGATTGACTTCCTCGAGACACACTTCCACTACGACATCGTGTACAAGCCCGGCCACAAAAACAAAGCAGACGCCCTCAGCCGGCCTGCACACGTTGCCGCTATTCAGGCCGAAGGGATGAATCCACTACTCAAGGGACTCTTCACACACGGGTATACCATCGACCCCGAAATTCCCTTGGCAGAAAAATGACATCTACTACAGTGGGGCAATGACATTGCGTACCGGAAAGGATCAACGAAAATCTGGGTACCCAATTACCCTCCTTTGCGCCAGTTACTACTCGAAGAATACCACGACGTCCTCTACGCCGGACACTTCGGTAGCAACAAGACGCTGACCGGTATCGCAAAACACTACTACTGGCCTCACTTGGCAGATGATGTTCAGAACTTTGTCACCTCGTGTGATACATGTCAACGGATGAAGAGCAGTAAGCAGAAGAAAGCAGGACTGCTACAGCCTCTTCCTGTCCCAGAACAGCCATGGCAAGTGGTTAGCCTGGATTTCATCACCGGGTTACCACCTACCACTAGCGGTCATGACGCAATTCTTGTCGTCATCGACAAATTCTCTAAGATGGGACACTTCATCCCGACACACACGACGGCACGCACCGAGGAGACAGCACAACTCTTCGTTCGCTACATCATCTCACAGCATGGCATTCCAACTACACTCATCTCCGACCGAGGCCCCAAGTTCACCAGCAAGTTCTGGAAGGAACTCATGTCTCTGCTTGGCACCAAACTCGCCATGTCATCCGCATACCATCCGCAGACAGACGGACAGACCGAGCGCCTTAACCAGATTGTGGAGCAACTCCTCCGAGCAGCCTGCAAGGACGAGATCTCCAAATGGGACTTGCACCTGCCCGTTCTGGAGTTTGCTTACAACAACGCCACACATGCTGCTATTGGACAGACGCCGTTCTTCCTCTGCTACGGACGCCACTCACTCACACCACAAAAACCGACAGCATCCGCTACAGTCCAACATGCACATGATTTCATCACAACCATGCATCAGCTACCTGGAAGATTCACAACGCCTTCCATGTCCAACTTCTGAAGCCCTATCGGGATCCTAACACGATCTTCGTGGGACGCCAGCCGCCGCCGCCGCCGCCCGTCCTCGTCCAGAACGAACCCGAGTACGAGGTCGAGTCCGTGCTTGCACATCGTCGACGTCGGAATGGCACCGTGGAGCTTCTTATTCGTTGGAAGGGCTATGATCCTTCTGAGGACAGCTGGGTCTCTGAAACCGACATGGGTAACGCCCGTCGTCCTCTGCATGACTACCTTGTCAAGCAGGGTGTTACTTCTACCACCCAGCTTTGAGGGGGGGACGTGTGAGAGTACGACCCCGTTACACCACTTGTCCTATTCTTATCTCCTTCCTATTTCATTCTTCTTTTTATCTCATCTCATTTGGTTTCCTATTCTCCATTCTTCCATTATCCTTTGGTTGATCCTGCTATTATAATTATATCACCGACCAGGCTTGGGATGTACTGGCACATTATCCAGCGTAATCCTGCCGTAATCCCTTAAAGCCAATGGCCTCGCGTGGCTATACGCAGGGTGATTCTATATTCTAGAAGGGTCTATTCCTTTGGATAGGATAAACCTGGTTACCTGATGTACTCTGGAAGTATAAAAGCACCTTGTACTGATCGATAGTGCAATCGATACTCGAGTCATTCGATCCTGTGACATCGGGCATCTAGGGCAGCGGGGGGGAGCGGCGTGAACGAAGCGGCGCCGCTGAGGGTGTTGTCACCATCACGTAATGTGGTCGGCGTGTTGCGGCCGTTGTCAAATTCCCTGTCTCCGCCAGTGAGCCAAGGCCGCCACACGTGTGCAGGCACTGCCTCCTGGGACGTTTGCTCAAACCGCAACTCCCGCCCAGTGGCATAGGTGGACTTCTTTTCTCTTTCAGCACCGCCATCAGCCTCCACCGTAGCCTCCTTCTTCACACCCCTCCTGTCCAGCTCCCCGTCTTCCTCTTCCGCCGACGCCCTGTCGGTTGCATACGCCGAAAACTTGGTGTCACGGTAATCTGTCCGCCGAATGAGCACCGGACCTTCAGACGCAGAGCCGCTCTCGAAATTGTCGCTGCCAGCCGGGTACAGAGCATACACATGCTTGGCGGGCCTGTCCCTAGGCCATCCGCCCTCCCCTCCTCTCCCTTGCTTCCTCATGTCGCCACGCCTTGCTTCCGTCGGCTCCCCCCTTTCTTCCTCTTGCCATTACTCCCCCTCCCCTTTTCCTTCCCACCCTTGTGCCGCCCGACGCAGCAGTCCCTGCCGCGGTTTTTGCCGCGCTTGCGGCCGCCATCAGACTCGCTCTCGAGCGACTCCGGCTCGCTACTTTCGGCGCTCCGACCGTCGTAGTTGGACTCTGACGCCGAGGACTCGCCCGAGTCGGAGTCGCTGGAAGAGGACGCCGAGCCTGATTCCTCAGGGGAGTCTTCGCGCTTCTTCGGTTTCTTCTCGCGGTCGCGGCCTCTATCGCGGCGTTCATGTGATGGGGCAATGGCGTCGCTCTTCGCTCGACAGGTGTCTCCATCGCGACGCTCCCATTCACCGTCCTTGTCCTTGTGGGACGGTTTTTGTGGGCTGGTCATGGCGGCCACGGTCGCGCGGCCTTCCACACGAGCAGGAGTCTTCAGGACGGGGGTCGTGTTAGGATTAAGGACGGAGTCTAGGTGAACTTAGGAGCTAGAATTACTCAAAATATAAATCCGAAATTCTGGACAGAAAAGTCGTCTTTACAAGAAACGACGTCGACGAAAAACTAGCCGTTGGAATGTCGCGAAACTTGGATATGTTGTAGCTCTTAATCTCAGCTACCGTTCCCAATTTGAATCACGTTGATTGATGAAGTATTCGCGACGCTATGGCTTTCGACGCATTAGGGGGTAAGCTGTAGGAGGAGAACTTAACTCAATCTCAAAGGTTCAATCAAAGTTCAAGAATCTCACAAGGAATTAGAGGAGCAAGAGAAAGGTTGGGATAGAAGAGAGGGATGAGAGGGAAGGTCCCAAGAGAGTCCCCAACCAAGGAAACCCCATAAGCACAAAGATTCCCTCCCTATAGGAACCCCAACTTTGACATTTGTCCCTTCCCAACCAATCCATCCAAGTTGGCCACCCTTGCCAACCTAGCTTGGTTGTTCCCAACCAATTTGCAGCTGTTACAGTAGAGTGACGAATTTCCCCAACCCCAAAGGTCCCAACTCCATATAAAGTCACCCCACAACTTCACTTTGTAACCGCCGCAATTGTAACGCAAGCTCATGAACTTTGAATCTTCATAGCTTTCGCGTTCTTGCTCCGATTGACGCGATTCTTGTTGCGTCGGAAAGATCTTCTCAAGATCTATCATCACAAATACCTGCTCAGACAGAATAACACAAAACACATTCCCAAACTCCAGAACACATCACACACAAATTCTTGCACACGTTCAAACCACACATGCAAGTTGAAAAAATATGGGATGGGAGGCAGACAGAATGTGATAGCATATGATGACATCACACAACAATCTCCCCCTCTGGCTGCCAACCATCATCCACCATACCAACATCTCAAGCATGCATACTCAATGCACACTCATCCCAGCAAGCTTCATGCCCTTCCAATGATCCGCCTCCGCCAGACGCTTGGTGAAAATATCTGCTGCCTGCTGATGGGTCTTCACTATCTCCAGCCGCACCTCCTTATCAAGGAGTCTCCTCACCCAATGCCACTTAGGCCTTATGTGTTTTGTCAGCCCATGCAGACAAGCATTCTTGGCGAGCTTCACAGCGGACTCATTGTCACAAAACACAACTGTCGGCTTCTCCTGACCAACTCCCAACTCCTCCAACAAACGCCTCAGCCATACTACTTCCTTGGCCCCATGGTGTAAGGCCATGTACTCAGTCTCACATGAGGACAATCCCACCTCATTCTGCTTCTTGCTGCGCCAGCTCACAGCACCACCTCCTAGCAAGCACACATAACCCCCAATGCTGGTGCCATCCGCTTTCACTGAGTTGAAGCTAGCGTCAGTATAGCAACTCAAGAGCATCTCTCCACTCTTCACATCTGCAGCACCTCTCTGCAACCGCTGCCTCACTCCACTGTACTCCAATCCCACTGATGCCGTAGCGCTCACATAGCGGACCAACCTCTTGGCCGCTTCCAGCTGCTCATGACTAGGGCGTGAGACCACACTAGCCAATCGTGATGTAGCAAATGCAATGTCAGGCCGTGTATGATTTGCAGCATAATTCAGCGACCCAACCATCGAATGAAACAGCTTCCTGTCACTATCACCCACTACCTCCTCATCAGCACATGGCTCCACAGTAAACCCTGAAGGTAGTGGTGTTGCTGGCTTTCCCCCATCTTGCAGCCCATACTTCTCAGCCAGCCCCTCACAGTACTTCCTCTGGTGCAACCTCAGCACACCCTTTTCCACATCTCTCTCCACGTGCATCCCCAAGTAGTACTTCACCTCACCCATCTTGGAGCACTTGAACTGCATCTCCAGCATCTGCTCTGCGCTGTCCAGCAAAGCAGTTGATGCAGAAAAGAGAAGGATATCATCCACATACACCAAGAGCATGAGGATTTCATCCTTCTCCTGCAGCAGGAACAGGCTGGGGTCACACTCACTCTTCTTGAAACCCCCAGCCAACAGCGCCTCCTCCAACTTGTGATACCATGCACGAGGCGCCTGCTTAAGGCCATAGATGGCCTTCTTCAGCCTGCAGACCCTGCCGCTCCCGTCATCCAGCCCCTCTGGCTGCTTCATGTACACCTCCTCCATAATGATCCCATTCAGAAAAGCAGTCACAATGTCCATCTGCCGTATCTTCCATCCCAGGAGTGCAGCTATCGCTAACAGCACCCTCCGTGTTGTTCCTTTCCCCACAGGAGCAAACACCTCATCATAGTCCTTCCCTTTTGTCTGCTGAAACCCCCTTGCCACAAGCCTGGACTTGTAGCGGGTCAGCTCCCCTTCAGGTCCATACTTGTGCCTGTAGATCATCTTGGAAGTGATTGCCTTCTTTCCAGGAGGCAAGTCACACAGGTCCCATGTCTCGTTCTCAATTAGGGACCCGAACTCCTCATCCTCACTCGCCTTCCACTTCTCCCCATTTGGTCCATTCAAGGCCTCCTCTCGAGTCTTGGGCTCAGGGATTGGTGCCCAGTAGCAGTGAGCGATCTCATCTTCCTCAATCTGCTCAACCACACTCCCAGCCTGCACCACATTTGGCTTGCCTCTTCCCCCATAGGTCAGCCTCACAGGAGGGCGCACATCCCTCCTAGGTCGCTCAGGCGGGTGTGGAACTCGAGGTGGAGACTCATGTTGCTGTTGCTGCTCCACTTCAGCTGCTCCCCCTTCTTCAGTCACCCCAGATATCTCCTCCTCAGACACTGCAACCTCCACCTGCCTTGAAGGCTGCTGCAACTCATCTGCCTCCACAATGAGTGGTGTAGATGGAAGCTTCTGTTGCTGCTGCTTCCATTCCTTATAGTACAGGGACTCAAGAAACTTCACATCCCTTGACACTGTCAGCTTCTGGATGGTCAAGTCCCATAGAAGCCATCCCTTGTGATCCTTTGCAATCCCCAAGTGCACACCCCATCTTCCAGAAGCCTCCAACTTCCCTCTTTTCTCCTTAGGCACATGAAACACTACCATGCACCCAAATGCCCTCAGCATATTCACAGCTGGAGCACTCCCATACCACTTGGTATATGGGATCCACTCCTTATCCCCAACTGTAGCCAGCACTCTATTCTTCACAAGGGCGACCTGCCTCAGTGCAGACACCCAAAACGGATCAGGTAGCCCTGCACGCCCAAGGAGAGTGCGTGCCCCCTCCTGCAGGGTCCTGTTGAACCTCTCAGCCACGCCATTCTGCTGCGGGTTGTAGGGCACTGTCAGTTGATGCTGGATCCCCTTCCTCTTCAACTCCCCCTCAAAATCAGCTCCAATGAACTCCCCACCATTGTCACTGCGGATCACCTTCACCTTGTGTCCACATTCCCTCTGAGCTCTCGGCATCCACTCCTTAAGGACAGCCGCTGCCACCTCCCCCTTGCTCTTCAAAGGGTAAACCCACACTGCCCGAGTGTGGTCATCCACAATTGTCAAGAAATAGCGGCTGCCTGAGAGGGAAGGGGCTCTTGTGGGCCCCACCACATCCATGTGCACAAGTGCAAGTGGGGTCTTGGCTGGTCCTGTAGTGCTGTTGAAGGGGAACTTGGAGAACTTGGTCTCCAAGCATGTAGGGCAGCTCCCAATCTCCTTCAATCCCCCTTTACCTCCAATCCTTTCAGGCTCCCATCCTTCACCAACTTCTGCAGCATAGGGAAGTTCACATGACGCAGCCTCTCATGCCATGTCTCCCAATCGGCCTCTCCACTCCTTGATGAAGCCTTAGCCCATGCCGCACTCGCATCCACACCAGCAAGCACCTCACCATGTGTCTGCTGCTGCTGCACTTTCTTGACTGCTTCCAGGACCCCATCAGTTGGTGCAGTTGCATCTCCTCCTGCTGTTGCCTTTGCCGCTGCTGTCGTTGCTGCTGTTGGAGTCTTCCCATTCCATGGGATGATGGGCAGCTGCCACAGGTCCTTGATGCAGCTGGTCTCCTCTTCCAGACTCCACAGCACCTTCTTCCCAAGCTTTGCACGGCAGCTGGTTGGTCCAAAGGTCACTTCGGCCTTACTCTTCTGCAGTCGCCGCACAGAGAGAAGGTTAGCAGACAAGCCTTTAACCAGCAGAACATTCCCAAGCCCCACAAGCTCCCCATTAGCTCCCTTAACCTTGGCATTCCCAACACCAATGACAGGGAGCAAAGCACCTGATGCTGCTGCCACATACTTGATCTTCCCAGGGGGTTTTACCTCATCAAGCAAATCTGCCCGTGGAGTCATGTGACTGGTGCAACCCGAATCAATCACCCAGTGCGTGAGAGGGTGCATCACAACCTTTCCCACAGATCCCACATCACCCTCATGCCCATGCACATCCTCAACCATGAGATACATCCCAGGATAGGCGTTACCTTGTGCACCTTCACCTTGTGCACCTGAGCCTTGCACAGCGCCACCTTGTGCGCGTTCACCACTTGGCGGCTTCATGCCTGGAGGTGACCATCCCTCCGGCCTGCTGAAGCACTTGAACCAAGGATGCCCGACCTTCTTGCAGTACCAGCAGGTGCCCTCCATTCTGGTACTCCCCCTGCCACTGGAGCTCCCATGCCCCTCATTATAGTCACCTCGGCCTCTACCTCTGCCAAAGCTTCTCCCACGGCCTCGGCCTCTCCAACCCCCTCTTCCTCTGCTGCGCCCTGCAGCTCCATACCCCTCAGCAGTCTTAGTGGCAGCACCGCCTCCCACATGGCGTCTGCGGAAGTCCTCCTGCAGAATCTGCTGCCTTAGCCACTCAGGTGTCCATTGATCTTGCTGAGAGTTGAGGGTGGGGATGAGGTTGTCCCAAGAGTTGTCCAACACCGAGATGATCTTGGTGCACTGCTGCAGCTGAGATACACTGCTGCCCGCTGCTGCCATCCTTGCATAGGTGTCCTTGATCTTGTCAAGGACCGGCTTCACATCGTCCCCTGGTCGCATGGAGATGGCAGCAAGTTCCTTCTCGAGCACGATCACCATCAGGAGAGTGTTGGGCTGAATCACATCGCGTAGTAGTTTCCACGCCCTTGGACCCGAATCATCCGCTTCCACAAGATCCTTGATGTGCTCGAACATCTCCTTGTTGACCGATTGAAGGATGAGGTCGAAAAGCACCGTGCTTTTCTCAATCCACCGTTCACGTGCTTCGCCTTCTTCCGGCATCTTCTCTTCCCCAACAGCAATCTTCAGTAGCTTGTAGCGTTTGAAGGCACTCCTCATCCGTCCGCTCCATTCCTCATAGTTGGAGCCATCCAAAGCTTCAACTTTTGATGGCGGCGGCTCACTTGTCTTCTCAGCTACAGCTCCTCTTCCATTAGCATCTCCTCCTCTCTCATTCATCTTCTCCTTGAGAAATGACGAATTTCAGCCCCCCTTTGCAGTCCACACTCAGCTCCCTCGATATTTTCACAAGTGTCGGCGTCCACGAAATTTCGGCAGAGTTTCCCCTTAGCGGAAGACACATCCAACCTTTAGAACACCACTTAGGCACACCCACAGGCCATGGTGGGTCTAGAAGGGTCTTCAAACTTCTGTAGACTCCTCTCAATGTCCTTAATATTGCTCTGATACCACTTGTTAGGATTAAGGACGGAGTCTAGGTGAACTTAGGAGCTAGAATTACTCAAAATATAAATCCGAAATTCTGGACAGAAAAGTCGTCTTTACAAGAAACGACGTCGACGAAAAACTAGCCGTTGGAATGTCGCGAAACTTGGATATGTTGTAGCTCTTAATCTCAGCTACCGTTCCCAATTTGAATCACGTTGATTGATGAAGTATTCGCGACGCTATGGCTTTCGACGCATTAGGGGGTAAGCTGTAGGAGGAGAACTTAACTCAATCTCAAAGGTTCAATCAAAGTTCAAGAATCTCACAAGGAATTAGAGGAGCAAGAGAAAGGTTGGGATAGAAGAGAGGGATGAGAGGGAAGGTCCCAAGAGAGTCCCCAACCAAGGAAACCCCATAAGCACAAAGATTCCCTCCCTATAGGAACCCCAACTTTGACATTTGTCCCTTCCCAACCAATCCATCCAAGTTGGCCACCCTTGCCAACCTAGCTTGGTTGTTCCCAACCAATTTGCAGCTGTTACAGTAGAGTGACGAATTTCCCCAACCCCAAAGGTCCCAACTCCATATAAAGTCACCCCACAACTTCACTTTGTAACCGCCGCAATTGTAACGCAAGCTCATGAACTTTGAATCTTCATAGCTTTCGCGTTCTTGCTCCGATTGACGCGATTCTTGTTGCGTCGGAAAGATCTTCTCAAGATCTATCATCACAAATACCTGCTCAGACAGAATAACACAAAACACATTCCCAAACTCCAGAACACATCACACACAAATTCTTGCACACGTTCAAACCACACATGCAAGTTGAAAAAAATATGGGATGGGAGGCAGACAGAATGTGATAGCATATGATGACATCACACAACAGGTCGCAGCCGCGGCCTGCGAGGGCTTCGCACGATCCGACTCCGCCACCTTACTTGCGACAGTTTCACCCTGAGGGAACTCATCTTGCGACGGCGGCATGGCACTACCAGGGGACTCCACGACGACCATCGCCACGTCCTCAATTGCCGGAGGCGCGTCTGCTGCGGTCGCGGGTGGACACTCGACGGACTTTGCGGCGCTCATCACGACGCGGTTCCGCGTCGGTGCGGCAGCTGTGGGAATCTGAGCGGCGCTCGCGTCCAGCTTCGCGGGAGGGGTGCCGCCCTCCGGGGCTGCCACCACCTTTGCTGCCTTTGTAGTCTCCTTTGATACCGCTGCATCCTCCACTGCTACCGCTGGATCCTTGTCTGCTACCGCTGCATTCTCCTCTGCTACCGCTGCATCCTCCTCTGCTACCGCTGCAGCCTCCTCTACTGCTGCTGTAGTGGCCTTCGCTGCGTTTCTATCGACCCTTTCCCTTGCGGCCCATTTTGTTTTCGTCTCTGCCTTGGACTTCTTTGGGGCCTGAGGCAGTCCATCGTTTCCTGCAGGTGTGCCAGACAAGGCGCAATGTCAGGCAATGGCAAATACGAAGCTTAAAAAAAACTGCCAGCTGGCGGGTGGAGCATCAAACACAACTAGCTCACCGGGGGTGCCGACAAGATCACCGATCGGTTTCTTCCGCTGACCCGACCTCTTCACTGGGCTACAAAGCCCGCCCGGAGCGACGTCCCCGTAAGGGTCCTCCAGGGCCTGATTGTCGCCATCCGGCTCGGAAGAGTTGGCGTCACTTTCCCGCCCGTCGCCCTTCTTCACCGAAAGCTTGTTCGATTTCCGGTATTCACGGACCGCTTCCGCAGTTTCCTCTCTAGTTAACTTCCATTGTTTCCCCCTCCGTTTACCCCTGGCAGGCACCTCGTCTGAGCCGGTGTCGTAGTCCTTTAGATCTACGCGCTCCTTGCGCCGCCTATCTCCGCGTCTGATTTCATCGCGGGTCATGGCTACTGGTGTAGGGGAAAATGAACGCACTCACAAGCCCTCTACCGGAGAGTCTACTAATGCGCTAACGTGATGTCAAATTGAAAATTGAAAATGCGCATAACCCAACGCCACATTTCCGGGACGTTCGGATAGGGTGAGGGGAGGAGAAGGGGTGACCTGCTATAGTGATGAGTTCAGAGCATCAAAAAGCCCCCAGAATCCTCTTGTACCCATTGTTTGGCGAGAGCGCCGCGAAACCCTAGGATTGCATATCGAATGGTGCACAATCTGTTTCCTCGATCTGCCCGAACATGTCTGATTGGTGGGGGGAAACGAACACTGCATGACGTGCGAGAGTAAATTGTTACGTGCGAGAGTAAATTGTGACCGATGTGGTCATGCCCCGTAACAGCATTGTATACAGCAGCCGCTATGCCAAGAAACTGCTTAACCATTGCTAAATCGACCAAGGGTAGAAAAATTACCACACGGATGCATTAACTAGGAGCCCAAATATTCCCCAAGCAAGGGTACATGAGATGTCATTGATTTATAAAATTCGCCAAAGAGTGGTTCCCCACAGTGGTGTGCATTGAACATGAAGCGATCCAATGTGGTCTCTAGGATGTTCAGGACTGAACTTCAGTTGTGCGCTTTGCGGTAGCGGTTATTTGGTCTTGTGAACCCTGTAATCGTGAACGTAACATAACATTGTTGATTGTAGCACGATAATACATGGTTCATCTAGTGAAACAAGTGAATGCAAAGGGTCTGATTCAGATGGACTTTCCAGGGGTTCATTCCCTATGCACCTCGCATCATAGGATCAAAATCGACAAAGTTTAAGGCTCGAGAGTCACTTACAGGCATGTATCAATTCCGTTTACCGTAACACTCCCCTTATTTGCTGAAGTTGCTCGAGCTTGGCGCGCTTGGACACTCCACAGTGCTCGACGCAATGCATGCATTTTGATGTGCCAACTGTTTGGCGAGGAAGTGAGTTGCAATCTCATCAGTGGAACAATACGTCAGGTCCACTTTCCCCTTGTGGGTTTCGTTTTTTACGCAAAAGTATTGCAGGGCGATGTGCACGGTGCGATTGACGAAGCCGGGTTTGTTGGCGATATTGATTGCACTCTACTTGTCGCAGTGTCACTTGAATGTTGGCAAAGTGCTGAGCTTCGCTTCCTGCAGCAGTTCCTGTAGGTGGGATCCTTTGTGGGAGCCACTGAGACTGTTCGCATAGAGATCTCTGGAGACCATCCGAAGGGGAATGGAAGGAAGGAAGAGTTAATGGTGAGTGAAAGCAACGAAGTGTTACCAAATCAGGGATGAGAATGGGTGCAAGGAACCATTACCCGAGGTTAGAGCAGTCAACTCCTGTTTCTGTGAGATCCAGGAGATGCGTCTAGTAGGCTCTCGTCGAAGAGGAACCCCGTGCAAAAACGGCGGTTAGCGGGGTCTGCGCCGTCATCTGCGTCGACGTACCCAGCGCTTTCGAATGTGGGTGTGGTGACAGTGGAGTATGTGAGGCCGATGTGAGGAGTCGAGATGAAAAAGAGAAGAGGTCGCTGTAGATCTGGGGGGTTCTCCAACCTAAGGTTGCCAAGAATGTTGGGCGAGCTGGCTGCCGATGTCAGAAAGTTCGAGTCAGCACGTGACGGGCGATGAGCAGCAAACATCCGCGCTACTGCTGGTAGAGTAGATGGGCTGCAGGTGCGAGTGTTTAGGTGTCGGGCTTGTAGCCAGTTACGGGAGTGCGGTGGGGTGTGGAGAGCGGACCCATTGCTATGTTGAACCTCTTCGCGAGAGTCTAGGCATACTTTGAGGCAGAGAGATAGATGGCTTGTGGCGTGTAGGAGATGGTGGTGTCAACGCGCTACCCTAGGCTATGCTCAAAGTGATTGAGCAGGTCAGAGTTTGTGTCGTTGTAGAATAGGTTGTTGACGTAGACAGTGTGGAGGATGGAGTCTATGCGGAAGTGGAGGCAGTACATCCCGGGCCTGAGAGGTTGCTCGATGTGACGGCATGCTGCGACAGCGTGAAGGATGTGCACGCAAGTGTGGAGGCTGACAGGCGCGAAGGTAAGGTCGACGTCGATGCCCTGACGTTGGTCGTAGCCGCGTAAGACCCATCGATCCTTGCAACGCTCGACGTTCCCTTGGGCTTCTGTTTTGAGGCAAGAGTCTAATTTGCGATAGAGGATATTCCTACCCTTTACTGCATTGCAGTCGACTATGAGACAGGTGTTGGGGTCGCGTAGTGTGGCTATTTTGGCGTCCATAGCATTGCGCCATTCAGCGCGGTGTGGACCGGTGAGGGCCTGCCGTGGTGTCACTGGCTCGATCACGTAGGGATTCCTGTGGACGCTGACTGCCCAGACGTAGCGGGAGGCGGCGTCAATGAAGGTGAGGGTGTAACGCTCCTCGTACAGTCCTAGTTGGGGTGTACTCTCCAGTTGGGGTTGAAAACCATGTGAGTGTGTTGTTCGCATGGGTATGGTTGCCCCGTTTCCTTCATGCAGTCAGGAGCCACATAGGCAAGGACGCGTTCCAAGCATTCTATTGAGTCGTGGGTAGTTACTATGGTTTCCAGGGAGGACCAATTAAAGCTCCATAAAAGCGGTGGTTTGAATCCTTTGCCTGTGCCACTCTTCCTTCATGGTGTAGGGAGCCCAAGACCCACGCTATGCTCCCCGGGACGCCCCTGGACCTAGTTTGGGCAGCAAAGGGCAACGATTGCCGGCGCAGCCATCATTGAGGCGCTTGCACACAGGGTGAATCGTTGCAACTGGGTGTGCAAACACAAGATAAGGCAGATGCATCGCCCTTGCATATCTCACACTGAGCTTTTAAGGTGACGGGGGGATATGGGAAGGCCAGTTGTTCACATCCACCAAGGGCTGGCAGTAACGATTACCTGTCGTGTGCGCAACCTTGGTCTGCACTGGACCTTTTCGATCTATTTAGCGATAAGACTGAAGTATTATATGATGTTAATGGTTGCCGTGTATCGTGTTCTTCAACCGTCGGCCCCAATTTGGTGTATCGAAAGACCTCTACAATCTCGGATGTGATGTACGTTTGGACAGCTCAGCGCAGGGTCGGGCACATGCACGACCATCGAACACTGCCTGATACGGCAAAACCAGTGGTGGAGTCGTCGTCCCACCTGTGGCCCAGCTCTAATCGCCGAAGGTATCCTCGTGCAAAACTTTTATGTGCCCGCCCAACCCCGCTCCCATCAGATTTTTGGGGCCATCTGCTCCACGCCCGTCTTGAGAAAACCTAGGACAATGCATCAGCAATCTCAGAATGCCCACTGTAACGCACGAGTGGAAGGCCTAAACATATTCTGCTCCCCAGTGTCGCTCAGACTGGAACCAACTCGTTTACACTCTTGTGGAACTGCGTGGCTAGCCGACACCACCGAGCGGGCCCATTTCTTGGGTTTTTGAATCTCGTGTCAACCATTTAGTGCCGGTCTCGTTTTGACTACTCCTGTGCTCGGTAAATAGCCACCGCCGCGGCGCAAAAGCAGGACTCATGTCGGGGCCTAAGATTCCGTCCTCCACAGCCTTCAAATCGTTCAGCATGCCCCTGCTGAACAGTGATGGGTGGCTCCTTGTCGAAGAGAGAGACGCGAACAGGCTTCGGGGGAGAAACTCAATCGCAGGAGCCCTCATCGACTGGGTGGGTCTGTGAGTTGCCTTGCCAATGTGGTGCATCGCGTGGCTAATAAAAGATGATTCATTAATCATGACAGCGTTTTCCCCGCAGGATGCTGAGCTATGAGTCCACGGAGAGCCAACCAAAATGGCTATACATGTCGACCTATTTCTGGGAGGTTGCACGGCTCAACGCGGATGGGCATCGGAGGCGGGATGGTCTAAAGGCGGACCCTCTTGAGTACTCATTTGTCTTCATCCCCGTG